ATTATCCAATCACAGTAACAAATCTTCCGTCACTAATTTCACAAACTTTTTATTCATTATCGTGCGAGGAGATTAGTAGTGCATATCGTAAATGTGCTATTATCTATGGAACTGATGTGTATTATGACCTATACTCCATACAAATAAGTATATTTTCTTTCTTGTAATTCAGATGAAATACATATTTTAGTGGAAAAAAGGAATCTTTTTTTCGTTTTTTTTTTTTCTTTGTTGTTTGATTTCTCTTTGTTATTTATGATAAATAGATCATGCGATGCATTGATGTCTGTACTTACTAGATATATACCCATTATTGAAAAAACAGCAAACAATAATAGTCTAAATGAGCAAATGCAAAAGGAGAAATTCCTATTGAGATGCATTTCATTCTACGAACTTTTTGTAAAACTGTTCTTTTATGATTTCTGTGAACTTAGCAATAGTTTGAAAATTGCTATTCATTTCAAACTCAAATGTGTTCAACTATTTTTTGAATAACTTTTAATGGGAACGTCATAGACACCTGCGGCTTTCACCACTCAAGCGAGAAGGCTCAGAATCATCGAAGTATGTCGAACTTTGGTTGGTCAATAATTGACCAATCTAGTGAGTTTTTGATGAAAATTTTCAAAAACGATATTCAGAAGCTATTTTCCTTTCAATTGAGACTTTTTACAAGACTAATCGATAGAATAAATTCTTCTCTTTCGATCTACACAAGTTCAGTTTGAGCGTTATTAGACTTTTCCTGAGATCCCGATTTCAGCCAATTGATTTGTGACGATCTGGAAAATCAATTAGGTGTACTTAATTTACCATTCGACTCAGTATAGTGAATCACCTCTGTCTAGCTTCTTTTTCAGGTCATCACAGGTCAATTGACTGAAATCGGAGACCTCAGAACAAGTCTTATAATTCTCAAATGGAACAACCAAGGAATATCGGCCTTGTGTAGATCCAAATGAATATAGCTTCAGCATTGTTTTCGAAAGTCTCCAACAAGAGTTTATTTGATTGATCAATAGCTGATCAACCAAATTTTGATATACATCGATGGCCTCATATCTTCTTTCTTTAATGGTGAAAATCGCAGCTCTCTATGATGTTCTTTTCAAAAGTTATTTAAAAAAAACAGTGAAGCACATTATATTTTCACATGGATGGTAGATATTGAAGAATCACAGATTCTTTTCAATTTTAAACATAAAAAATATGATGATCTACCCTAAAGACTTTAGTATAATATTGCTGATATGTTTTTGATTAGAATTTTCTATTTCTTAATTTTTGAACTTTTTCTTTTTTTCAAAACGACTTAATTATAAAAGAAATTTTTCAAATAAATTTCTTACCTTTCATCATTGATTCCATAGCTACTTCATATTTTTCTTTATTTTCACAACCACGATATTTTTTATGAACACATTCAAAATAAACACGTGAAGCGACACAATATTTTATTGGATCTGAATCGCGAAGATCTTTTTCCGGTTTTTGACCACATGCACGTGCACCCATGACATCACATGCATTCATTTTCGATATTAATATACATAGGAATATGTAGAAAAATGAAAAAAAACTTGATAAATAATTGTACTTCATTTCATTTCATTGAAAAAATAAAATCAAATCAAATGATTTTATATACAAGACATTAATATTCACGATGTTACTTGCATGTTCTTGTCCAAGTAAAATTATAAGAAGTATGTTATGATGAAATGGAACAATCGAGATAGACAGAGAACAATAAATTTCTACATATGTCGATTAAACTTTGGTTTCTCTTCGTTGTTTCATCAATAGATGGTTGTTGCATCAGCGAGAGAATTGTCAAGCAAAAATTTGTGTGCGATTAATCGTCGTCGACATTTTCTTATTAAACAAACAATAGGAGCTTTAGTCAACGACAATCATGAGAATGAACAAATATTTAACTAATAACAAAACTGATGTTCAGTTATGTTGCGCAATTCATCTCGAAAAGCAAAAGATGTCTACTATATATTATGAATTTTTAGTTCCAAAATTGATTTAGATATTCGATCGAAATATCATCATCATCAAGTTTTTTTTTTTCTTTGAATAATAAAATATTTTATCTTATGTGACAGTAATAATGTCTTTACTAGATAATCGAACTTTATATTGACGAAGAGAAAGTCAAACATCAATAGGATCAGACATGTTATGTTTGATCGGAAGGAAGGATAAATTTTTCATCTATTGCAAGAAAAAGAATGTTCATATTTCCTAGTTATTTTTCTTTGAAAACTTCTTTGTCAATTAACTATACATTGCAATATTCCTAGTTTAGATCAATAAGTTGAGATAACTAAACACTGTAGTTGAGTTTACTCACAAGGGAATTTTCCCTAAATGATTAAGCGCTTTTGAGTCAAGACTATGTAAATCATGTAGATTCTAATGAACTATGAATATCCTGAAAAAGCATTCGTGTTCTTCGCTGATTGCTATGAAAATACTTCATTTTTTAGGATATTTTCTTGATGAATGTCATGATTTCCGTCAGGAACATCAGGAAAACTAACTTCCGAATTTCGACTTGAAACTTTGCATGGAAATAAGCCTTAATGAAAGTAGTTTATTGTGAAAATGTCAGTTCTTTTTTATTTGTTTCTATCCTGAAATAAGAATATCGGAATTTGACAGTGTATATGAGTGATTTGAAAGAGACACTTTTATTATTGCCTTATCTTAGGATAGAAACAACGAAAAGATCTTAAACTCTCACAATATACGATTTTCATTCTTATTCAAAAGTAATTAATCAGTGAGGATATTTTCATTTATCTATTTGATTATTGTGAGTTGTGACAAATTTCAAATATGATAATTGAATACTTGTTTTTCTATCATAGCTTTTTAACATATAGAACAATTTTTCATATTAATTATTCTGCAATAAGTTTACTTAATCGCATATTCTCTATGATCCTATAATTGTAAAGAATTCTGTTGCATAGAATAGAATACTATTGAGATGAGATTTATTTAATGTTCAATGATGCTTTCGATTTTGTTTCTTAAATATATATATATTTCGACTATGACAATGTTGTAGTGAAGAATGACTTGTAGAAAGAATTCTGAAATCTTAATTAAAATTAATCGAAAGCAAAAAGTGGTGATCAATTTTGAAATATTGCCCCAGATAGAAGCAAAATGGTAGTATTTTTATAGTGAAATAATTTTGGATCTGCCTTGTGAAAGAAAGCATTGATATTTTTTAAGAAAGTTTCCTTAACTTTCATTTTGATAAAAAACATAATCATACACTATTATGAGAATATTCCTATTAAATACTTTCTATAAATACTATTAAACTTGTCCAATGGAATATAATTGATATAGACCATTAGTTCAATCGAATTATAATTTAATTATATGAGTCACGTCAATGAAACGTACAACTCCGTCAACATATTTTGTATCATCAATTTTATCATGACTATGATGTATATAAGTTAAAATAAGAAAAATAAATAGAATATTATTATTATTAGATTCTTCATTTCTAATAATATCTGCTTACTCACTCTCTTTGTTATCTTCTAGAAAGTACTTCTCTAGAGCTCATTTTTAATAAAATGATAATTTATATTTCATCGTATATCAATATTCAAACAAATGATATTAGAGTTAAAAGAATGCTGTTTAAAATCATACAAGTAATATCGACCTTTTTCGTCAATCACGAGTGAAAAAATAGTTTATCAACCACAGTTTTATTGTTTTACAGCATGTTAAATGCACGTTAACGAAGCAATATCTTCACTGTCAATGTGATTATTGATATCGACAAAGTATTGGAATATCTTGAAAAGAGTAATTCGGATGTTGTATCAACTAGAAACATATCATCTTTATCAGAACAATGTAAAATATCCGGAAAAAAAATGTTGCTTTGTTTAGTGAGGATACACCAATTTAAATTCTAATCTTTAACTTGGAATTGAAATAAACCTTATTTACTGTTCTGTTTGTTGATCAGGTTAGCTTATTTGTTGCAAAAGGCAGTCTATCATTCTCAGTCTTCTTGTTATTGTATGGCAGTCAAAGTACTGCGAACGATAGATCACCCTTAGGAACAAATAAATTAGTATGAGCAATTTTTTTATGCATGTTTGTGACCAGCATGCAAGCCATGGATGAGATTCATTCCCTTTCAAGCCAAATCTAAAGATTGAAATTGATATCTTCCTATTGATTAGTGTAATTTTCTTTTTTATTGCTCTAACATGTTGATATTTATCAAAATTGTCTGAAGTATATCTCTTTGTGGATTTAAATATGCATTATTATGAAAACTAAATTACATATGAACATCCCAATATATAGTTCTCGAATAATTCATCATTTGACAAATTAAATTAAATTTCGATATGATTTTCAATAGTTATTTCTTGTATTATATAAAAACAATGAATGTTTTAAATCTCAACTAACTAAAAAAAAAGTTTCTTCAATGATCATTTCATCAACGGCAAAATATTCATGTTGAGTAGTTGATATTGATTCAGATAGATAGGCAAGAAAAAAGTAAACAAAGATTTTGTCGAATGTTTTCTTTTTCTAATCGTATTCTTTATTTATTGATTATTATTTTTTTTTGTTTTTATTTTTCTCTCTGTAAAAACGGGAATAACCGACATATTATGACAAAAAATTGATTAGAAACGAAAGGAACAAATAAGAACAAACTCTTTTTAACTTTTTAGCGACCTCTTTCTGTCAGTATTTTTGTTTCTCTCTCTTTCTCTCTGCATCAATTGGATCATACGCAAGTAGAGAGAGAGTTGATTGACTGATAGGTAGATAGTAAACGGCCATCGGTCAAAGTTTTTTTGTTGATATTTTAAATTAAAAGAATAATAATTAACTTTAAAAATTAAAAACATATTTCTTTTATATTTAGTTGTCGTTCATCGGTAATGCATGGCTACTATTTATTATTATTACTATTTTAAACAGTTATGAATAATAACAATAATAATACTCCATTGTCAAATCGGGTTTGTTTCGTTTTCTTTTTTTATAAATCTTAAAATTAAATTTTTCTATTTTATTCATTCTTAGACTGATGGTACCGATTCAGGATCAATTATTTCCTCGATTTATTCTTCTAACAGTATATCCTCTTCAACAACATCAAATAATTCTTTAACGAATCGATCATTTTCACAACAAACTCCAATAACAATGGATTCTGATATGGATTCATCTTTAATCAATAATACATGTGCACAACAAATTGATCAGCGTCGACAAATTATTCATCATCTTGCTCTTTTACTTCATGCACATAAATGTCTTCAACGTGAACGACAAACAGTTAATAATGGTGATATTCATGACACAGCACATCAAAATATTTGTACTGTACCACATTGTACAACAATGCGTACTGTACTTCAACATATGACAAAATGTGCTGATTTTAAAAATTGTTCTTGTAAGCATTTCAAATTGGAATTAAAATTGATACACAATCAGTTAGAGTATCTAAATCCTTATGAATAAATCAGCTTGTTCTTTGTTCCATTTCGAATTTTATTAATGTTATTTACAGACTCTATTGACATATTATCGATGCAATAGAGTCAAGGTCAACTTGAACGCATCGTTTTTTATGTTCATCAGTCATAAAAATACAAGAGTTTATTGTTGTTTTTTTTTTAGAAAATCAGAAAACGATCATATATGATATAGTTGATTGACTTATATTCATATTTAACGATCTACTTACAGATTGTTGAAAAGAAAATTTCTTTTATTTTGTTTTTTTTTAAGTTAACAATTGTGTTCAATCTCGTCATATAATTCTTCATTGGAAGAATTGTGCAACACCCAATTGTTTTCTATGTGGTTCCTTAAAAAAACCATCTACATTTCGATCACAAAATCCATCAAGTAAGATTAATCTATATGATTTTATTAGAAAGAAAAATAAATTTTTCTATTTCTTTTAGCAAAAGAGTGGCAACAAAGTATAAATCAAGATCATCGAAGTCATTTAGTAAAAAAAATTACTTCAGCTTTACTGACAACAATTCAACAAGATAATAATCATCCATTATCACCAGATCGTTTAGCTCTCATAACAAATTATGCTCAAAAAACCGAAGCTGATACATATAATACAGCTATAAGTCATGAAGATTATTTTCAACGTTTAGCTGAACGAATTTATAAAATTCAAAAAGATTATGAAGAAAAACAAATGTTAAAAAAACAACAAACATTAACAACAACATTATCATCAATTGATAAATCAGCTGGTGAACAAGGTCCACCAAACCGTATTGCACCACAAATTGATTATTCAACATCATTTTCAACAACACAAATTAAATCCGAGTCAGATAATAATAACTATCATTCAAATTCAACAACAACATTATCAGGACCTTTTGATCAACATCGTATTTCAACCGATGGCATCAGTCGATTGGCTATTCATAGTAATAATTCAAATGTACATGCAGATACAAATGAAAGTCATATTGATACAACACGTATTAAAGTTGAAGAAACTCCATCTAATCATGATACGAAAATTCAAGTAAGACTTTAATCATATAAACAAAAATAAATTGTAAAGCTTTTTATATTATAAAGAATAGGATGCATAGATAGTTACAGTAAAGTAAGAGAAAAAATTGTTTGTAAAATCTGTCAATGTTAGTGTAGGATGATGTAAATTTTCTTATCACTTGTCCATTAACACGTAATTGTGTTAAAAGAACGATTCCATGGACTGTATAAGAAAGGTGGATATACAGTTTTTCTTATGTACTTAATGCCCTTGTTGTTTTATTTGTTTGTAAAATACTCAATATTTCTATATAATTAATCAATAGATTTTGTTTCAAAATTTCATTTAAGGATTAGCTAAATAACATAATATTCCAGTCGAATTTATCATAATATATCGCTTATCTTTAATGATAAAACTTTGGTAATAAATAGAGTAGTACAATACAAAAAAAATACTTTTCATCATGACTAAATAAACATGAAAAAGATCAACTGTTACTTACGATCTAATCAAATCCATAGATTTCGATGTGGGAGAGGCTGTGGTAGGCTACCACCCTCACTTACTTTTTATGTCGCGTCTACGAAATTAATTTATGCAGATATTAATAGTTCTATTGTTTAAAGCTTTGAAAAAGTTTGATCTTTGTATTAGGATATTTGTTTTGATAAAAGCTGAACACTTCTATGAATACTTCGTATCAGAAGAACTATTTAAATATACATCACATCGTCCTGACAGACGTTGCGATCCATGATTTAACTTAGTCAGTATTATAGATGTACGAAATCACAATTTTTACGGTGCCGGTTATGTTGTCGATAGATCTACTCCGATCTCTATCTAGAGAAAAGTATTCTAGGATTTTTTTGTACAACATCGAAAAAAATTCTTCAACACTTGTTTATTTAGTCGACGACTGACACTTTTGGGTCATCTCTCTTGAATTGTTCTTATTTATAACATAATTCGCTTAAAACTATAGAATATTTAACTGGAATTTTTTGTTCCGGTTGAAAAAAGGTTTTTTCTTTCATAGTTTCAGTCCCGTACATCTCAAGTCAATATATAAAGATCTTACTTTAGAAGCTACGAGATAATTCTTTTAACTTGATTTACTAGATTTAATATTTTTCTTCTTTAGTCAACAACTATTGTTAAAAAAGACGAAAAAATCACGACTGAAACCTCAATCAATGGTAATAGTTTTACAAAAATAACAGTTGAAATGATATCAAATGAAAAATCTGATATTGAATCAACAAAATCAAATCGACCACCACCGATTGATGCTACAAGTAAATCGTTGCCGAAACATCCAGCAATTTTTTCTCCTGAAGATATTCGAGAAAAAATGACACCTATACTACGTAATATGTTTGATCAAGAAGAAGGTATTTGGTTTCGTCAACCAGTTACAGAAACTATTGCACCTGGTTATTTTGATATAATTAAATATCCAATGGACTTTTCTACTATATCTAAAAAATTAAATGAAAATCAATATACAACACCATTTGAATTTTGTGAAGATATTTGGCTTGTTTTTAATAATGCATGGACATTTAATAAAAAATCTCATCGTGTTTATAAAGCTGGTGTTAAAGTAAGTTATCCTATAAAAACAAATAATAACTTAATTATTCAATTTAAATCTTTTGTTTTGTATAGCTTTCGGATATATTTATGGAAAACGTTGATCCAATAATGAAAGACTATGGTTATTGTTGTGGACGTCAATATGTATTTTTACCACCTGCCATGTTTTGTTATGGTGTTAGTGGTATTTGTTGTACAATACCACGTGATGGAGATTATTTTGTTTATAATAATCCTGATTCGTCAAAAAATAATTTATCGGGTGATAAATATACATTTTGTAAAAAATGTTTTGATTCTGTTAAATCTGATTATATATTCGTTGGTGACGATCCAGCACAAACATTAGTTGAATTACCTAAAACCGAATTTCAACAAGCTAAAAATGATCATCAAGAACAAGAAGCTTTTGTTAATTGTATTGTTTGTTCAAGACGTTTTCATAATATATGTGTACTTTATCATGAACATATATGGCCAGAAGGTTATGTTTGTAAATTATGTGTACAACAACATAATATTAAACGAAAGGAAAATCGTTATTTAGCACATAAATTAACAATGACCGATTTAGCTATTGCATTAGAAAAACGCGTTAATGATTTTCTTCGAAAAGAATGTGATCCGACTACGGGACGTGTAACAATACGAGTTTTAGCTGCAAGCGATCGAGTATGTGAAGTTAAACCAAGATTAAAGAAGCATTTTGGGTCACAAATACCTGATGGCTATCCATATAGAACCAAAGCTATATTTGCATTTCAAGAAATTGATGGTATGGATGTAGTTCTTTTTGGTATGCATGTACAAGAATATGATGGTCGGTGTTCAGCACCAAATACAAGGTAAGATATTTCTTGTAATATTTATTTTTCATAAACAAGCAGATAACAAGAGACAGGTTTACTATGGGAAGAAATATCAATTTTTGAAACAATATATATACAATGAGTACTAAAATTATTCAACAAGCAAAGTTCATTTTTAGTGTTTTTCAGCTGCCGTAAGTGTTAGAAAGAATGCAAATAGCGACTCGAATAGAGAAAATGGTTTCCATCGATCTAGAGCGTGTTAATATAATGTCACTTAGAGTAAATAAAATGACAGAAAATTAATAATTCTCTACAAAAGAAGACATTGACGAGAAGTCGAAGACGTCTCATTTTGTAGAAAAATGTTTGCTCTATTGTACTATGTAGTCTAAACAAATTTATATTTAACTTTTCTAGATGCTGAAGACTAGTTTTTAGATTCTTTCTAGCACTTACACTAGGGTATTTCCATGGGGTCTCTACCACGTTTACGTCGAGTATTCCCAAATTGCATGAAGCTTTCAGGGTTTGTAGACCATAATGAGGTATTAAAATCCCCAACAGCAGTTTTTTAAAATTCATTAATAAATAAGGACATGTCGAGCATGACATTTTCTATGGTTTTCTATAAAACCACAAAAAAATGAATTTTCTCGAAAGTGATTCCATACAAAAATCTTTTGACTTAAACGTATAAAGTGTTAACTATTATAAATATTCTGATAGCTCCCGAGCTGGGCTACATTTTGACCACAAAATATTGTGACTTTGTATGTATCTTGGCTATCGTATTCTCATATATATGTGCAGCAAGACCAGTTTTTAGTGCACATTCTTGTAATAAAAAAAGGATCAGAAAAATGGAATTCATGAGCATTGCTATATATAGGGTTTTGTAGAGAATCGATTGCTCTACAAGATGCATTTGACCCGAACTTTCGCTTTTTTGATCTGACAAAATGCGAAGCAAAGAAAGATGAAAAATGTCCTTTTTTTCAATATAAATAAACCAATAAATGTAGGCCACGACCGAACTTGCTGAATCGAAGTCGTCCGATTTGGCCCCTTTCCAGATATGTTTTAAGGGAAGAGTTCTGAGAATTTTAACGCAAGCAGCTTGAAAAAATATTGTTCCGCTGTGGAGATATTTAAATTTTTCTGAGGTCACTGTCATAAAAAAAATGAACCTTTTTGCTACAGGAAATGTATCTGAGCTTGGTCAAAAACTATTCGAAGACTTACATCAAATGAAATAAAATTCATCCAGTATAAATCAGCGCATGACCCTCTATTACCTTCCATAAAAATATCCTTGGAAAAGAAAAGAAAATGTTTTTTCAAAAATTCCTGTAGAGGGGTACAGGGATTTCTAGCATAAGATTTTCCACCAAAAGGCTGGGGGGAAGTAGGAGGATTTTTTGAAAAATTTTTTTTTTGATTTTGAAAGAATATTTTTATGGAAGGTAATAGAAGGTCATGCGCTGATTTATACTGGATGAATTTTATTTCATTTGATGTAAGTCTTCGAATAATTTTTGACCAAGTCAGATACATTTCCTATAGCAAAAAGGTTCATTTTTTTTATGACAGTGACCTCAGAAAAATTTAAATATCTCCACAGCGGAACAGTATTTTTTCAAGCTGCTTGCGTTAAAATTCTCAGAACTCTTCCCTTAAAACATATCTGGAATGGGGTGAAATCGGACGACTTCGATTCAGCAACTTCAGTCGTGGCCTACATTTATTGGTTTATTTATATTGAAAAAAAGGACATTTTTCATCTTTCTTTGCTCCGCATTTTGTCAGATCAAAAAAGCGAAAGTTCGGGTCAAATGCATCTTGTAGAGCAATCGATTCTCTACAAAACGATATATATAGCAATGCTCATGAATTCCATTTTTCTGATTGTTTTTTTATTACAAGAATGTGTACTAAAAACTGGTCTTGCTGCACATATATATGAGAATACGATAGCCAAGATACATACAAAGTCACAATATTTTGTGGTCAAAATGTAGCCCAGCTCGGGAGCTATCAGAATATTTATAATAGTTAACACTTTATACGTTTAAGTCAAAAGATTTTTGTATGGGATCACTTTCGAGAAAATTCATTTTTTTGTGGTTTTATAGAAAACCATAGAAAATGTCATGTTCGACATGTCCTTATTTATTAATGAATTTTAAAAAACTGCTGCTGGGGATTTTAATGCCTCATTATGGTCTACAAACCCTGAAAGCTTCATGCAATTTGGGAATACTTGTGTATAAAGTGGTAGAGACCCGGTGGAATACCCCAGTATTCTAAATTATAACGATTGATATATAGAAATATATGATTAGCCAATGGATTCAGTATCATAACTTATATCACTACTTCAACAGCCTAAAAATCACTGTATGACAATATACTAGAAAGGAAAGTACTACTCGACTAATGGACTAAAGATCAAAGGACTCAGTACCGAGTCCGATTGGGACCCAGTTCATCAGTCAGAACTGGGACTGGTGCATCCCTATTGCTTACATAAATAAGTCTATGTTCATACATGTCTCGTCTGAAAAAGGTCAACTTCAATTTAGATATCCTTGTTCATGCAAGTTAACGTTAGGCAAGAAAGCTTGATATCTGAGGTTAGGAATCTTTTGCTAAGCTAAACAAGTGTACTACCGATGACTATTGTGCAATGGAGTACACACAAAAAATATAGTGAGTATGTATTTTTCGTTGTTCTTGAAAAATCCACGCTGTACACGGTTGGAAAAAATATTATTCCAGGGGGATAACACCATCATTTTAAATAGAGTAAATGATGAATTTTATACCGAATGAAAGCTCGTGAAAAGCGGGATTTATTGATATTAAATAGTAAGGGTTTGTGAAGACCTTAATGTATTAAATTCTTGAAATCTATAATATTTCATTGGCAGGAAGTAAGAGAAAAACTATCTCCGAGGTCAAATTTGAACTAAATGTGTTACAAAATAGTTTATTTTTTCATCATTTAATGAATAGAATCAATAATGAGTGTGACGATCGTTAGCATTCTTCACTGCACGAAGGCGTGATGGATAGGAACGTAAAAGTGTTTCAAATAAGTCAATATCTGTTTCCATATTGGTCAAAACATTTGTAATGTGTATTTTGAGTATGTCTTCAAGATACCGATTATATTCAGTTTCTGATAACATTTTTTTCTAAGCTTCATCTTTGATTATTGATCCAATACGTTGTGCCACGATGAGATCAGGTGAATTTCCTGGCCAGATGTCATTACCCCAAGACTTAACATTGTTGTCTTGAAGCAAATGTTGGGTTTTATTTGCTTGGATACATGGTGTCTTATCATGAACAAATGTAACTTCATCAGAATCAATAACATTGTCTTCATTATTTAAAAAAGGTATTACATTTTGAGTTAAAATTATGTCATGAAAATATTCACCAGTCCAAGATTCATCTTTATCTTTAATCACCCAAAGTAATCTCTTACAAGGAAACATAATAAAAATCCCAATGCATATTTGATTTTGAACCATTTCATGGTATCTTTCATCTTCTTCAATATCTTTAACCCTTTTAAGGTCCAAATTCTATCATCTTGATAATTTGGTTTACGAAAAAGCCAGACATAAAACTCGTCAGATGGTGCGAGATGAAGAAAGTCCTCTTCAGTCAAATCTTTTAACCAGTCGCATAGCCATAAACGATTTGATATATGAGTTTCAGATTTTAATGACTGTGAAATAACATGTAATGGGTTCAATCCTTCTTTATGACGATAATTATTGATTGTTCTTCCAGTGACGTACTCCGCTTGCTCTTCTGCAATCTCTTTCGCCACACTAGAACAACTTTTTCCTTGTCGATCACTTGTTTTATGAATGATGTCAAATGACTTGCTTGTAATAATTTGAGCTTGTGACCAGCGTTTGAATAATCAGTAAAACATTGGCCATATGTTTTTTCCCACCATCTTTGACAAATCGGGTTGTGCGATGAATTTTGTCCGCGATCCATTGTCGATTAATAAATGTTGCATTAGCATCGGAGCTTCACGAAAAGCGATGCATTTAATTCTGTCAATCGTTCTCTCTTGCTCAGCATCATAAGTAACAGCCATTTTCAAGTAATAGAAATTCGTCGATTTACCAGAAGAATATATCCTCTTTTTATGATATATATCGATCAGAAAAGGATCTTATATACCACTTCACGAACTATTTAAAGTTTTCTTTTTCGTAACTTTTTCCGAGAAGAAAAACAAAAAAGTCTTTTTATTAATCTCTACCACGAGGCATAGACAACAGAACGCGAAAAGATAATAATATCCTTTCAGTCGAGGCTACTCTGTATGATCGCTAGAACATTTCCATTTAAATTTTTTCTAAGAAAATTTCTTTCTTTTTTGTCTTTCAAGTTGGTAAAAGAAGATTATAACCTTTACATTTTACAGAATTATATAAACTTCGAGAGTTTAACACACTAAGGTCTTCCTAACCCTTACTATTTAGTATCAATAAATCCCGTTTTTCACGAGCTTTTATTTGGTATAAAATTCATCATTTACTCTATTTAAAATGATGGCATTATCCCCCTGAAATAATATTTTCCAACCGTGTCATATATTCCAATATAACTTGTTACTTTCAGTGAAAATGTGAACTTCATATCTCAATAAGAAAGTCACAGAAACTCAAACCCTTTTAGGAGTTTTCTAGTCTCACTAAGATCTACATATGGGCAAAATATTATGTCTAGAGCGGAACTTCACCTCGAGGAGTTTCGTCGTTAGCTAGTGGTGTACATCAGAAAAAAATTCTCAGTTCGCGTGAAACTGACGCATTTGGAAAAAAATGAGATTTTCGAAAGAAGAGATTCTGGTCTGTATCACCCGAAAAAAAGTTTAATCGTGCAGCAGAAATATTGCTGAAAAAAAGATGCTGCACTGCAAAGCTTCTTCACTGTTAACAATGTTTAACTGACATGTAACTGTTGATGTCGAAGGCGAAGAAAAACTTTGGTAGATTCTAGATAATCTGGCTCAGATTTTTCGTGCAATTCCTCTTTATTTGTAATGAAATGCTCTTACTTGAATTCGTTGTCAATGGATCATCCAATATTTACTTGTACAAAACTCAATGTTTCGTTGAATACATTTTCTATATCTGCTTGGTGGAGAACATGCTATTATTAGCTACTGGAGACAGCGAAAAATATTGATGTTTGTCAAAAACTGTGATGTGTTGCTCAAATCTATCAATCTGATGGAAGGAGAAAAATATTTGAGACTACCATAGTCGACGATACGTGAACCAGTGGTAGACTTTCGCTTTCCGAAGCCTTGCGGCTTCGCCGCCTATATTTATCTAACACTAGCTTCTAGTAGATAAAATGTAGACTGGTCGTGTAATAACGTGCCATTTGCCAGAAGAAAATAAACATTGAGCAGTAATAGACAATATATACAATAATAAGAGCCTATCCAAGGCTTCATCTATCCAATATAAGTTGTATTCAAGCCTATCGAGTTTTCGTTTCTCCATCACCTATGTCATGTTTAATGTTTATCATTTATTTCTCTACATTAAAGTCAATCGGAACATTTCGTGATATTATCAAAAATTGTGTTGAAACGTGATTTGCATCACCTTTTTCAAAAGAAACTTTGTTAAGATCTTGTGATCGCTTTTCGTCATTAAAAAGTAAGACAAACCATTTTTTGTTACTAGCAAATAAACTGAGATCACGTTTGGCTTTGAGTTCGTGTTTGGCAAAGACTAATGCAATTGGATATATTTCATTAAAATATTTGTTAATACTTCTGTTAATGACTAAGAATGTGCGGTGTCAGTTTACTGATCACCGACGACACTGACACAGTGCTCACCGGGAACACTGAGTACACTACCATCGATGTCACTGACACTGATGTTCACCAATAACATTGAAGAATTCAATCAGTGTTCACTGGAATACTGACATTCAATGAAGCACTAACCACACTGATATCGGTGTTCAGTAGAACACTGAGTCACTGATCCTATAAAAGTATGCATCTTTTGCGATTTTACTCATAGTCATTAATGAAAATAGCGAAGTGACCAAACTTATCCTTGCCGGAAATATCACAAACTTGGGCAATCTATAATATTTAATAATAAAGCCTATTTCATAAGATTGCATCACTTCTTATATTTTACTCTTAATGGATCAAAATTGTCTTCCGATTTAGAGTCTTCGAACCCATGTACTAATTTTCTTTCGCTATCTTGACATGTTGTATGGAAGTTCTCTTTCTGACAGAGGCGTTCAAGAGAGATCCAAAGTTATTCATAAATCTTGAAATATTAAAATTTAAAATAAACTCAATGTCTTTATTTTAGACTTCTGAGAAAGTCTGGAGCGCGTTTTATAGTCTAGATTGGAGCTATGTGAAAGTTAATTGGTAAATTTTATCACAAATAGATAACTCTGCTGAATTCGTCTTAGGATGATGACAGTTTCTTAACGTTTTTTTACCATCGCAAAGTTGATGCACAGTGTTGCGACTATATAAGTTGTGTAATTTATTTAATTCATGTGGCGCTTTATATCACGGCCAGCTTGTATCATTTAGTCAAAGAAGCTATTTTAGCATCCAGCTTGAAGTGTATTTTTATTTATATTTTCCTTGTGGAAGACGTCAGAGTATTGTGTATTCAAATTTTAGTCAATTAAAAGCAATTGATGTGTCACTGTTCCACTGAGCACCGATGTCAGTATGGTCACTGTTTCAGTGAATACTGTTTGAATTCTTCCGTGTTATCAGTGACCGTCAGTATCAGTGACACCGCACATTGATAATGGTGATATTATCATTAACATCCTGAGTAAAGTTGATGATAATAAGTAGAGAAAGAGAAAATGGAACTTTTGTTCAAGAGTTCTTTACTATATTGGTGTTTCTTTGCATTAACAGAACCGCAGCATCCAGACAGAGATTCACCGCTTTCATTTTGTTAGATTTTCTTCCGTTACTACAAAATTTCAGATTTGGGCAACCACGTTTTCAAGTTTCTTGTTTCAAAACCCTTTTTCAAGCATGACCAGATCTCAGAAAAACTGTTATTGGTGTGAGTACGCCAGTATGCAAGGTTGGCGATGTAAAAATGAATAAGTGTCTGCTACATCCACCCTCACATAAAAGCCACAAAACGGAGGGTCTGCTGGCTTCTTCTTCGCCACCTCCTCTTCCTGCACTTTAGTTTAGTAATTGAAAAATATTTGTTATTGGCCAGTAAAAGTCGTAAGATTTTTATGTAATTTTTATTATCTGTGAGAGATGATATCTTATACATGTATATCACATCTTTCCAATATTGCAACCTTTAGGTAGCTGCTGCGCCTACACCACATTTGGCTAGACACGATAATCTCTGTCAAAGTTAGGCAAAGGAGAATGGCAGTTAAAGGGTATGTGTGGTGGTGGTGGGTAGAGGAGGAAATAAAAATAAAGCCTACTGTCGTATGCCCACACCCTATGAGTAGGGTTCAGTGAGACTAATTAAAAACTAAAACAGTTCGTACCCATGGTATGCCTGGACAGAAAGCTCAATTCTGCGTAGGTGTAAAAAAAGTGGTTTTTCTACTTTACTTCGAGAAGCTGACGACTGAAATTTTGCATGCAGAGTTTTCAAAATTTTCATTTGATACTAGGATGTTGGCTCATGTTCAGTCAAAAACCGAGGGTGTGGATACACATGAATGTGCCTTATTTTTTATCGACGTCCACACTTACACCTAGAAATGTTCTGATTGCATAAATTCAGGCTACTAATCATCTCTGTAACTTCTAGAATCCTCCACATTTTCTTTTATGAACTAAGTCAGGTGCATAAAGAACAGTTATCTGATAACCATCGTGAATATCAGTTTACATGTAAGTGAAACTAAAAATTAAGAGCATAGATAGAAGGTATTCTTGTAATCATTAATCTGTCATGTTGCATGTTTGTTCGCACTACTGCAACAATAGCGATGATTTACCTGCATTAGCGCTTACGACTCTCGGCTACAAAAAGTGTTTTCGCCTCAAGTTCGAATTATTTATTAGAAAGAAATCAAACTAATCGAGAAGAAAACAGTTTCAGAGTATATTGGGCTAATAAAAGTTTATATCATAGCTGGGATCGATTTGGACTTTGCAGCTAGTACAGACGGGTCAGACACATTAACATTACCAGACTGCATTGAAAGTGACTCAATTCTACCAGTTTTAACACAGTTCAACAATGCTCACCTATTTTAATACAACGCTCGCAAAAAAGTCGACAATAAACGGCCGATATAGCAGACAAATATACCGACGAGTATACCAATGAAAATTTCTTAGTAGTCATCATAAAGGCTGCTTTTTTTATTTTTATGATAAAGCATTTAAATATATTTGCTTCTAGAAACATGTTAACTATTTTGTCTTGCATATTCTTATCTGTTGAAGATTTCTAGCAAAGATAAGTGACAGTATCAACGTGAGCACTTTTTATTAAACAACCAC